AGTCTATGAATAGATTACAATATATTATAGTGGTATTATAATATACCATTACATTATAACAGTCAATATACTAATCCCCTTTCATCTTCCTGGCTGAATCTTGATGTCCTTAGATTAGTTGTTATTGATGGTATTACATTAGTAGGCTACTAATATTGTTTAAAGGGAGACTGCCAATTTTAATATAAATTGGTACATAAATGTTAAAGCAACAGTACCATGCTAGTATTGTATATTAAAATGTGATCGCAATATACAAGGTAAAATAATATTTGGTCCATTCATATTCATATTTGAATATACAAATGCACTAATATTGTTTAGAGGAGCTGTGCCATCTGCAATATAGTCAATATACCTTGTGATGCAATTAAATGGAATATTCAGCTGGTATAATCTAGTCTATACAAGAGATTATTATAACCTGTGATGTAATTTAGTCTTGTATAATCAAGTCTACATAAGGGACATAATCCTGGACTTATGATGAAATTAAGACTAAGCAAGGGAGATTATTATGACAATCTAATTCACAATTGAAATAATCAACCTTGCGATGCAATTAACTTTAATATACAGCTGGTATAATCTAGTCTATATAAGAGATTGTAATAACCTGTGATGTAATTAAGTCTTGTATAATCAAGTCTACATAAGGGAGATTATTAAACAGTAAACCTGATTATGATTAATGTGGTCTAAAGAATAACACAAGCCAATCTGTTTATCAATACGTACGATAATTAAAGTTCGATCAAGGTTCGGTCAGCCGTTAAGTTTATTCTGCTCGGTATTTGTTAATTATTCTCCCGAATGAATCCTTACACGCTATTGTATAGACAAGTAATCAACTGGAACGCAGCAAATGTTGATATCGACGTCAAAGTTATCATTTTCGCATGTCTTGCTTTGTGCATAATTAAGTTCCGAAGACGCTATTTTGATTATCCAGATAGTATACACTTGGTGTTAATATGGCAGGGCGTTATCACAGGGTGTTATCGGGAAATATGTTATTAATTATTGATATGACATAACTTAACGCTTTTCACACCTGATGATGATTATGTTTCCTTTTTAATTAGACTCTTTGTTAATTAGTCAAGCGTTAGTGTCGTATTATGTAGACTGGAATTAATGTCAAGGTTGTCCATGCGTTTGACATGTACCTCGAAACTGATATTTGACATTTAATGACATAAGTTTATTGTTCAGCTCAAAGCCCTTAATGTATTAGAAGCCTACACAATTTATGGGAAAGAATAGCTATGCGTCCTTTTTAGTTTTTATGTTTATAGAGATGATGGAAAATGTTACTTGTCCTGCAAATAGAACAATAAACTGAAACTCCTTTTGTTGCATGCTGTGCACGTAAAAAAGATTCCTTGATATTTGCAAATCGGAAAAGAGAAGACTATCGAAATAAGATTTAAAAAAAACTCCAGTTTGCTTAGAGTCTGGCCTACGTCTTAGATCTATTTTGACAAAGTTATTGTAAATGTCCATTTAGATTTGTCAGTTTACAGATAATGATATTGAAAACCAATACAGGTTGACAAGAATAAGTCTGTGTCAAACTATCTTCACAAAGTCAAGCTATTACGAACTGTGTCTTACCTTCACAATGTCAAGCTATTACGAACTTTCTCTTACCTTCACAATGTCAAGCTATTACGAACTTTCTCTTACCTTCACAATGTCAAGCTATTACGAACTGTGTCTTCACATTGTCAAGCTATTACAACTAGTACAAATGTACTGATACCTGTACTTTAATAGTCACCTTTCTTGTATCATGGTTTGTAAATGAAGCATTATGATTGGATTGTATGCTAGTGTATACAGCTAATCAGAGGCCTTGACAGAAAGTCTGTTTGCACAAAGCCATAATGTGTACAGCTTTTCTGTGAAGGGCTCTGTGTTCTGAATGAAATGCATTCCATGATACAAGAATAGTGGCTATTGCAGTCATGTATAAGTATGAAGTAAGTAATAGCTTGAATTTGTGGATGAGATATAAGAATAGTGGCTATAATAGTCAAGGTATGAGTATGAAGGTCTTAATAGCTTTACATTGTGAAGTTGGTGTCATATGTGATTTTACAGATAACATTTTCTGAGATAAAATAATTGTGAAGTTTCGACAATGATACTCTTATCTTCACCAAGTCATAATGAATTTGTTACACTTTTAATCAAATTTTTTATTGGAGAAATTTTTCCATTAAATCTTGAAGCTCCATTATCAGCCTGATATTTCTTCTGATAACAAATATCTAATGATATTCTCACACCTTGATTGCTGATTCTGACAATGTCACAAGATTTTGAAATGCTGCCATCTTTTTTTTGGTACATTTTTAAATGGTTTTTGTTTACACAGAAAACTGTGAAAATTCAAGTTATGTTTTTTGTGTGAATGTGGTCCTGTCATTATTGTTCAAATCAGATATACTACTTGTTATAGTGTATATATTTAATTCTGAGGTACATCTATTCTTCGTGGTTGCACATGAAGTGACGCTACATCATATCACAGTCCCGCACTTAAATGGGGTTCCAAAGGGGCAGGGGCAGGAAAGGGGTCAGGGGGGCGATGCCAACCTCCAACGGTTCATAATGATAATTTCTCTTTTTTTGAAATATACATATTGTAAAAATGTAATGATATTGAAAGATTACTCTTTCAAATTGCATAAAATACTGGATTTAAGCACTTTACTTACAAATTTTTTTTCCTCTTACCCTTTCTAGAATGTTCTCGAAAAAAAAAATGGACGGTGGCATCAACACACACTTGTTACCTTTATTCTTTAGCTTCATCCCTTGAATTACAGTCAATTTATGACATAAACAATATTTTATATGATTTCAGGATGATAGTGATAATCGTGAGACTGGAATGGTTGAATATCTGAAGGCGGGAACCTGGTATTTAGCTGTATATAATGATAATAATCGTAAAGAAAGTGTCTCGTTTATGGCAGACGTAACTGGTAGGTTGACATTTATTACTGTCAATAATATATTTATAGATAAAAACTGTACAGATGACAGGAATGTTCCAAATCAAACAACAATATTCATTTGTGTCCAGAGACTGAGAGGATTCTGCGCCCAAATTTGCCTCAGCCATCTTAGGACATATAAGAAATGTGCAGCTGTTCCAATTTGAAAATTGCCTGATATAGCCTGCATAGGCTGATGTACTCATTGACAGTCATTGATCTTTCACAAGTCGATCAAACCTACAGCCAACATTTGCTTGTCATCAAAAAGGCAACTGACCTCATGTAAAGAAACCAACTGTGTTAGAACTTCACTAAACATTAAACAGATTTGAAATCATTTAAATTTTCAAAATATACAGGCCTGTTCGCTGTAACGCATCATTCAATTAATTGTAAGAAACATTGGATTTAAATGGTTTCTTTGAGTCTGAATAATATCAACATTTAGATCAACAATATGAATCTAAACAACTTATTTATTTTATTACAGAAATTCAAACAGGCTGTCCTGGAAATTGCCACGGCCATGGAGAATGTATCAAAGGACAATGTCGATGTTTTAACGGCTACACTAAAGACGATTGCTCTCAGGGTATGTTTTCTTTTTCGTTCATTACCCATAATTCATTCATAAGTGTCCCGTCAAATGGTCGCGCTCCGATACGGAAATGGGACGTCGATTTTAAATTCCTCATTAATTCTTGATTAATGTGTTTTCAGCCTCTGTTTTATGGAGTTAAAACGTTGATAATGAGGGAATTCGCTTTTTAACAACTGTTTGAATTTTGGTAATCAATTATGTTAAAAGAAAACGAATCGTTGAAAAACACAGCTGTTTAAACAGAACTTCTCATTTATTGGTCGAAGTGTTTGAAAAAAGTCATTATGCAAAAAGTCAGTTTTCTCGATGCATGGAGTTTGGTGCCAAAATATTATCAATCCAGTAATATTTCAAATTGTGTTAATCAGCATTTTGTCACATCAAGGCCCCGCTCTCTAAATAATTGCTCCACATCGGCATTTCCCTGTTTTTGTTAACGACCAAATTCTTTTATTATCTGAAGCACTTTATCCGTCTCTTTTAAATTCCTCTCCATTGTTCCGGGCACTTTAAACTTGCGTCTTTAAGTCCACCAGGAAACGTAATTCCAAGTTGACTTTTTAAAAACGATGAAATGCTAACGAGAAAGATTGGTTGGTCCTAATGGCATATCGTATAAATTGCTAAGATAAATTCTTACGCTCGTATGACTCATTCCAGATATTGGACTGATTGTCTTTCTGGCCCTCGGCTTCGAAAAAGAAAACATGAGAGCAGCACTTCAGGGACTGTGGGCCAATATTACACGACATTCAACGATATTCACATATTAACGGACGACGAAATCAATTTAATCCAACAAGTTTTAGTTTTATCAAATTCTGACAACGCTGTCATTTTCGTCAAATTTTATTGACCCAGTTGTAATCAACTCCAAAAAATCACGTTGATTCATTCGTGAAAAAAACGTAACCATTAGTCATAAGTTAATCCCGGAAAACAATTCGCAGACACAAATTAAATATTGCAACGTTTTATAGATTGTCAAAGGATATTTTAATAACAGTAAATTGGATATGCTGAAATTATGTATAAGATGAATTATTGCCCTTTCATATTGTCCAAACAAGTGTCTGTTAGAGTCATGGGAGACATGGTGGCTGTGTGTCATAGCTAACCTGATAGTCCAGGATTCAATCCATGCATAGGTCGAGACAATGCCTTGGTTTCCCCTCGTCAGTCATGCAGCTTGGAGGGGCTGAAATGTCAAAAAGCATCTAGTCGTTCAGACAATAAACAGGCCCCATTAAGAAAAATTGAAAACGAGCAGGTTAAAGCTGTCCTGGCATAAGTAGTAACAAACTCAATATAAGTCTGGGAGGTCAGTTGTCTGAAGATTGCACCACATGAAAGTACACAACAACAGCATGTTTGTTAGGTTCTGTTTTAATATTTCTAAGTCTGGTTTATATAGTTAATTAGTTAGTTATTCAATTAATCATTATTTTAACCAAATTTAATTGATAAGCCAATCCCATTTATATAATACAAATTCTGAATTAAAATCTTCAAATAGACCATTTTGAATTTTAGATAAAACTATATCTTACAAAAACCAAATATGTTATTGGTCAGAACTACAACAAAATCTTAAACTGGAATTAAACCATTATTGAGTTGAATCGAGCAATTTTTCATACAATCAACAACTGAATTACACTTTAGATTGTGAAGAATTCTGATTTAATTAAGATGAAATCCACCTGTGGGATGTCAAGAAGTTCAGCGTCATTTAAAATTTAAAACCAGAAATGTCATTGATTTGGAGAATGTTAACTTTGATTAAAGTTCCAGTGATTGGAAAGAAAATGTTCTCAGTTCAGTGATCGTTATCAATTCTTAAGTTGAAGTTGACAAATTGACATTCAAAGACAATTGCTTTTTTTCCGCCTGATCGCTGCCCACTTTGTGCATTTGTAGAAATTGTGTGTGATAAATATCTAACGGCATTTTGTCCGAGAGACGCTAATGGGGTTCTGTTATTTCTTAGCACGTCTAAATATGGGCACATTAATCAAAATTGTCATTGCCTGAAAAGTGTTGAACTCGCCTTAACAAATGGATTCATTTGTCACACGTACAAAATCCTTTGTCACCTTCCTGAAATTTGTTTCAATGCAACAGATTTTCTTTTTAATTTTGCTTCCACATGGCCGAGTTTCTTAAAAACGGTTATTTTCAAATTGACGTCTGATACCATTAAGCAGAATTGGACAAGATGCTTGATTGGAGGTTACGACCTTTTTGATAATTGAAGGTAAAAAATTGGCGTCTGCTTGACTTCTCTTTTCGAAACATTTCATGTCGTTAATTTCATTCTTGGGTGGCTCGTACCAAATTTCTATAACCATTGCCATATTGCTTTTGTTCAATCCTACCAATTCCAGCCAATAAATCGGCTAATATTCTTCTTTGACGGGCAAATCTATCCCATAATTTCGTGTTCAATTGTCATCGATTTAACATTTAGACATAATTATATGTTCATATTGGAATGAAATCCTACTAATGTTTTCGTTAATTTTCTACGAATCATTGCCCTTGATTGAATTGCTGTCTGTTTTTCTCTTTAATGTCTGATGTTGGCATATTTTTTTTTATTTCATTTTATGCTGACTTCAGGAATTTAATAGAAATAAAAAAAAAAATTTCTGTATGCTTTTAAATTTTTTTGAATTGCTAAGTTCCTCTAAGAGATTTTTGCCCTGTGAACTCTCTCAAATCCTTGTTCCCTTCTCGAATTATATTATTTAAGGTCTATCACAAAAGAAACTTACTGATCATTTCTTCCCAACTTAAGATGATTTATAACATTTATCTTGGTTCGTTTTATTAACCAATCAAATTGTTAGAGTTTTTTTAAATCTGAATTTCATTTTTTAATTAGAATTTTGTGAAATATGATAAGCAAATAAATTTGGAAAATGGTAAATTCAAACTTTTTAAATATTTTGTGAAACAGTGCCCAAATCTCCTGGACATTTTTAGACTATAGTGTCTTCAGATATTCAATAGCTAATTGAAACTTGTTCTAAAATTTCCAACTCTTAATTTCAGAAACCTGCCCAGTTGTGTGCCAAGGAAATGGGATCTATGAACGAGGAGAGTGCAAGTGTCACCCTGGGTGGAAGGGACAGGAGTGTGATTTGAAGGAAAACGAATGTGAGGTCCCGAACTGTAACGATAATGGACATTGTATCAATGGACAATGCGTCTGCTTCACTGGATTTCAGGGTCCAGATTGTGGAATCGGTAAGCTCCTTTACTTTCACTTTACACATTGATGGAATGTTTGTCTGGATTCGAAACTTCCATTCAACCAGGTTTGAAATTCAAAGCTTATGATTGGTTACTGAAAATTTCTCACCAATCAAATTGCTTGATTTCAATTCTTGTTGAATGCAGTTTCGAATTTAGCAATACAGAGTATTTGAGTCCCAACCCATTTTCTTGCCTACCCAAACCATTCCAGAAAGCGCCAGTATTTTAAATGTGCTATAAATAGAATCAGATAGGCTTTTCTCACCTCCCTTGAGAATGATTGAAAACCAGGAAGCATAAAACCATGGCAACACATCAATACAGACTATAGTTTATCCTATTGATTAAATCTGTAATTGCAATAGCTAGGGTTTCTAACATGGAAATATTACACCAATGACCTTGAAATATGAGGCAAATGACCTTGATATTGTAATCCTTGAAATTACATGTTAAAATATTGTTTCATTTCAATTGATTTTTTCCAAATTGTTCAATGAAGAAGGCGGCATGATTTCACATTTTTTGTGTTATCATCAAAATACAGAAGGGAATATATTATGGTATAACACACTTCATTTTATGTAATGTGTGAACATTCCAGCCTGTTTTCAGCTTTAAACTTTTAAATGCACAATAACATTCATTTTGCCAAGAGTGTGGGTAGAAACAAGGCTAATGATATACAGAATAACATAATCACCTACTTGGTTTATAACGTCTGTTCAAGGTTGAATATCCATGGTGTAAAATCTCCGTTAGAAATCCTTGCTGGCGTTATTTTTCTCTCCTCTTCACACCATGATATCTTTCTTTTCCAACGCACTACTTTCTATTCCTCTCTTAATATTGTCAAAACAGAGCTGCTATTCAATGATAGGGGACAAGTAACTTGTCACAAGTTGAGTGTTCAAAATTCTTTGAGTTTTGGTTGGATTTTTTCAATTTTCTTGTTTAAGGGATTTTGAATTTAAATGCATGTTATGGAAATATATATTCATGTTTTAAAAATTATTTCCAAAATTTGTTTAAATTTGGTTTTTACATTATATATTATGACTATACCTTTTTCAAAATTAACTAAATATCAAGTAACAATTTTTATGTTGTCTTATTTAGCATTTTTTTGCCACTTAAATGGCAAATTCATGGAAATAGCAGCTCTGTCATATCATGTATATAATCATTTTTCCAAAAATTATAGTTGTCGCTTTTAGTCGTAGTCATGTAACATTAATGTTCTTTCTGTTTCAAAAATATGTTAAATTTCTGTGAAAAGTGTAATTTTGATAATTTTATAAATTCAAATGAATGTCTGGATTCAGACTATTATTTTAGATGTGATTTATGTGTATTTTTATAATTGAAGTGATGAATTTATCCTGAATACAAAATTACAAGTAAAAACTATCAGTGGTGTATTTAGGTGATAATTTTGGGGCTATTGCCCACCCCTCCCATTGGGCAATAAAAAATGAAAAATTCATTCTACTTCCACCTCAAAACTTGTGTTAGATGTATTTTCTGGCTTTCCACATTAAAAAATATTTTGACCCTCCCTCTTAAATCCGCAAAAGGACCCCAGGGCGTATGGATGGCCTCCATCAATGAAATTCTCGCTACGCCACTGAAAACTATCAATGGCTAGTTGAGAAAAATTTCAATACTCTCAATGTCAATATGCTCCATATTTAGAATATTATTGGGGTTTCGTTTCTTGCTCAATTTTGATCACCAATAATCTTGATACACCATCAAATTTACCAGGATCAGAAAATATAAAATTTTGAAATTGTTTCCAGCCTAATGTTAAAAATTGTTTGTACTGTAAATTCAATGAAGATCTTTCAAAAAGAAAAACTCAGTTGTTATTGATATGTTTAGATTTTGCTTTGGCACGTTAATCGACACAAAGTTATTTTTTTGTCAGAAAAGATTGACGTAGTTTCAATTTTTTTCCGGTTAAAAAGGAACGAACAATCATTCATCACTTCAATTTTGATTCTACACGTTAATTTTTCTTACTGTCTTATTAGTGGCTTGCTTCTATCTTTCTTTTCTGTTGTCTACAGTCGACTGCGTCTTGCCCAACTGTTCTGGAAACGGCGTCTGCATTCTTGGAGAATGCGTCTGCTTTCGAGGATATAAGGGCCGAGTGTGTAGTCAAGACGATAAGATTAACATAACGCAAGTGTGTGCTCAAGATTGCTCAGGTCATGGTGTCTTCGACGTGGAAGCAGGTTCCTGCATCTGTGATAGACATTTCACCGGCGCTGACTGTCAGACAGGTAATGCATCATGGGATTGCTCAAAATTGCATCATGGGATTGCTGCCCTTGACCTTATTTTTATTGATTAACTCTTGACAACTAATTCTATTAATTTTAACACTTCTGTCTTTTGACTAATCTCAACTCCACAGCTTCGCAACTTTGACTTCACAATCCATACTAACTCTATAGTCACGCTAAATACTTCTGTTACCTCCCTTGGTCATTAGTTACTAACGTTGAATTTATGCAAATGGCGACCATTGACAACTACCTAATGACTTTCAAAAGTAAGACAATTGAAATATATGACTTGTTCCAGTATTCCCTAGTTGCTATTAGCAACAGCAGCTCTGCGATAATCTTCGCAAAGGTATCAGAAGACGTTCAGATATCTATCTTTCGTGAAAAACACATCCATCTTTCTAGTCCCCATGGATACGAAACGATTTCCATCACGGTAATCTCATTGACGAAATCTTTGACAATTGCTAAATAATGAGGTTAGGTGTCGTCTTTTGAATTCTAAACACATTAGCGCAGACGAACTTTTAAAACTTGTAGACTTGAATTAATGTTTTGCATGCTTTTTTGTTATGTACAAAACTTATCTTTTGCATGTGTTTAAAGCACAACTAGCGCCATGTTTTCAAAAAATTTTATATACATTGTTGTTTTTTTGTCGTCCGATTTTATATCTGTTACTGTTGTCATATAATATTTTTATTTGATTTTATAAATAAGTTTTGAAAAATTTATATTTTACAATGTAGCATGATCAGATTTATATTTGTATATTTTAAAGATATCTTAAATGTTGAGGAACAAATTAAGATCCTAAAATTTAATTTAAATAATTAATGATAAGTTTAGCGAAATCCCAGGCTTAGGCTAAATTTCTGATACATTTGTAGATTAAAAATAAGTTAGAATTTGAGAAAAGGTTTGTTTCCAGACAACACCTTGGACCAATCACAGAAGAGTAGGACGTAAAACTCCATTCATTTCATTTCATTTGGACCAATCACGTCATCTTTTGGATAATGCAATTTGTAGCTTGATTGAATTAAAACCAAAACTTTCATAAAATTGAAAAAATCTTGAAAAGTTTCTTAAAAAAAATTTATTACGAAATAATCAAAAGTTTTCAATAATACTAAAAATATTTATCAAATTCATTAATCAACCTAAAATTCTGTAACTGTTTCATGAGTTTTATTACAAAGTCGACCAAAATTTCATTAATTTCTCAAATTTTTGAAATGTTATATGGAGAAATATAAAAATCTAAAGCAGATAAACTGACAGAGTTTGATGCGGAAGAATTTAAATTGAAAACATGTTTATGGTATTAAATTTGTGTTTCTGCTGATAGGACAGAGATCATTTCATTGCCATCGTAGATCGTAAAATGTGAAACAGTGATAAGACACAGAAAATAAATTGTATTAGGATGATAAAAAATCTTTGGTGTAAATTCGATACATGTTGAATGAAGAGTTATCAGATTCTAGAGAAATATACAAGGTCTTCAAATGATAAGCTCCATTTTGTCAAAAATGTATATTGGTAGAAAAACGATAACACCATCAATACTGAACCAACATTCACTGTCTTGGTTAATAGAAGATCTAGGTTGAAAATCTTAGGTGAAGTTTAAAATCTTTGCCCCACGTTTTTAAGCTCTTTTTCCTTCTTGCACCATGATATGAAATGATACAAGGTTTATAACTGATACAAGGTTTAAAACTGATACAAGGTTTAAGAATTTAAAACAGTCTGAGATATAATCAAATTTGTTAAATGATAAATGAAACTCTATAATCTTAAATACTTAATCTTAAATACTAGGATAAAGGAAGTCAAATTTTGTAGTTAAATAAACTTTTATCTTTTATTCAAAAAAAGTTCACAAAATCAAAACATTGTTTGGATATCATATTAGATAGAGAAGGTACAAAAAATGAAATTGGAAGAAGAGCTAAAACACCACCGAAAGTAATTCAGACAAAATTTCTCTTGATTTTTGTGGGATATTATAATAGCATGAAGCATTGATGAATATTTTAACTTTCAACTAAATATCAGCCTACTTAAAGGATATAATTTGCATATATCTTAAATCAAAATGAAATATTGCAAAATTTAAAGATGACAGAAAATTAGTTGTGGTCTTAGCTAATTTTCCCAGCTCTCTATTTGTAGGGATGCTCTAAATCTTCATTCGCTCAAAGCTGAAAATCTTGAAAATAACTTTGATGCCATCAGTGTTGCAGATATACATAAAAAAGATTAGCAAACCTCTTTACAATCCCTTTAAGATTCTTTACCATAATGTTGAAAATATCTCAATAAAGGTCGTTTTCAGTCAATTTGAAAGAGGATCGTCCATTTTGTTTTGTAGAAGTGTGTCGATTGGAATGTTATAAAGGAGAGTGTAAAAACCAGCAATGTATCTGTGAGGCAGGGTGGGCTGGCGCTCTCTGTGACCAGGTGGAATGCGATTATCGATGTAAATCTCATGGTTTCTGTAACAATGGTACCTGCGTCTGTAAAAAAGGGTGGAATGGAAGACATTGCACTATGGGTAGGTAGATTTCAGCCATTTGCATCGTCATGATCCTTAGATGATTATCACTAGACATCATCTTGATAGTGATGATATGATGGATGGGTTAAGTAAAAGAACCAAATTCATTGACATTTTTGAAGAAAACCAAATGTGTTAGTGGGGGTGCCAGTGGGTGTACAGAGAATGGGGTGGGAAGGGGTTGAGGGCACATGTTTCAGAATGCACCAAATCAATTCTAAGTTTCAAAAATTTTCTTGGGGAGTTGCCTCTCAGACTTGCATTATTACGTTTTATATTTGATAAACTGCAGGTTATTGCCCATAAAATTATTTATTAATATGTATGAAATTAATTTTAATATATTTTCTTTGTAGATGGATGTCCGTCTGATTGTGGTAACCATGGAGATTGTCGTCATGAAGCTGATGGTTGGAAGTGTAACTGTAGAGACGGGTGGAAAGGTCCTGATTGTCATATCGCTAAGGAAGATAAATGTAGCGACACCTATGATAATGATAAAGGTCAGTTCATAAATCATCTCCCCTTAATCTTGATTTTTTGCAAAAGAAAATAACGAGAATATTTGCTTGCATCGTTCATGTTGGCACTTAATATCATTAAAGTAGTGGACGTCTCATATCTTGGTGCATGGCATGGCAAGCAAATTAACCATGGGTCTACTAAACAGGCTGCCTACAAAACAGGCTGCCTACAAACAGATATTTCCTATTCTCATTAGAGAGGAAAAACCATCATTTGAATCTACCAGTCATTTAATGCCATAAGATCGACATTCAATGTTATGCAATTTAAATTAGCACCAAACATCATCATATTTTAGACATGTAAAAACTTCATTCAAACATCACATATTTTTTAGGGACAAATTAGCAAGAATGGAAGCCAAGCTTTTCATATCCTTTGACTTTTAGTGTCATATTCCTGCTTGAACCATTTTATTGGCTTAAAAAAAGAATTGACATTTTGGACATTTTATAAATCCATTCAGACATGGCAAACAGATTAAATTCCTGCTTATGACATCATCAAAGCTACAAATGTTCCTATTTACACAAGAGCAAAACAAACATCATCGCAATTTACAATTCTTTTTAAACCTTGACAAAGATCAGCATTAAAATGAGGCATCTCTAATACTATAAATATCATCAAGGTTCTGGACATGTTATAATTCCATTCAAACATGACAACCAAATCAAAAACACTGCTTATAACATCTTCAGTGTGCATCAGAGCATTAAACCTCAGTGACAAATGTCAAGAAAATTGAAGAAAAGATTGTCATGACCTTCAGATTGGGGTCAGAAAAGGTCACTGGCAGTGTCAGGTCACCAAAATAATATTCATTAGATTCCTATGATCTCATTTCCGTCATATTGGCTATTTAATTTGGTGTTTGTGCCGATGTTTGTGTGTTAGTTGTTATGTTAAGAACGCTGAGTGTTATGATATTGTTATGAATACGAAATTAACGTGTGTTTAATACAAACATGATTCAAATGAGTATCGTGACTTGTACATTTATATTGTGACCAGCACCGCAGTCGATTAAAAAAAAACAGAGCTTAAGTTACGAGTTTCTTCCTTAATATTACATGATTAGTCGATCAACATCCCTGATCTCTAGTCAGACATGAATGGTAAATACAACAAAATTTAAATTTAAGACTATTAAAATGCTTCCCATGTACTTTTGATTCCAATAGTTTAAAACTTGTAGGTGCAAATGTCAAGAAAATACCTTCAACTGTTTCATCGAAGATTTGGGGGGCTGTAATGGAAAAAGAGTCCAGTTGTTCTTGATAGGACAAAAAACCGAGGTCATGTGTGCTACTGATTGCACATTTCCTGTCTGCTTAAGTTCATTCAGGACCATTCATTTTCAATAGTTCTGATCAGGCATGACTGGTAAATACAACCCAATCAAGGACCCTGACAGTAAAACATGTCTGCCATGTGCTGCTATAGATTTCTTTAGTTTACACAGTAAATTAATCTGATAACCTGATCAACTCTAGAGGTCACGATAGGTCAAACAACGTCAATATTTACCTCTGGCTATCGGCACTGTCTTAGTTTAACTATCAACATTGTTATAAGATTATATTCCAACATGGAATCTTTGTTTTAGCATTGTAGGTGTTTTGGGTAGGAATTAGAAACAAAACCGTCAAAAACTACCTGTACCTAATTATTGGTTTAAATTCAAAAGCCAATGCTCAGACAGAAATGATACTACCACAGATAGTATTACAGAGACATCCTTAGTTAACATATCTATTAATCTTAACCTTTAACTTGCACCTTGGTTTATCATAAAATCTTTACTTTGTGACCCAGGCCAGTGCTTTCATGAGACTATGTTCTCATCACCATCTAACACAGGAATGATAAAATCCTAAAGCACAATTTTTTATCAGACCAAACCAGCTGATATGTTCTAATTATTTAATCTTCAACAGATCATCAAAATATATGCTATGTATTTTGACAGCTGATCAGTTTTCAGTATTAATTCTTACTAAGACTAAGTTACAATTTTCCAGAGTTGGTAGCCAGTGGTTTTTCTACAGGTTGGCAAGGCTTTGGCTCCTTCCACTTTCAATTTTTTTTTCATTTTACTTAGTGAAAGAATAGCCTGTGGACCCCCTGGATTATTTTGTGGCTCTTGTTCGCCCCCCTCAACTAATGTTTCCCAGAAACGCCATTGTTGGTAGTACTTAATGGAAGTAAAAATTTACCATTGCTGTAATTCTTAAATGCTTTTATAAGCAAGGTTTTGGAAGTCTGTCATAAAAAAAAATTAGACGACTCCAAACTTTTTGTTTCTTCAATGTTGGGACTCAAACATTAATTGTCCTAGACTCGTAATTGTTATTGAATTTAGCCTGATTTTATCTAAATCTGTCTTAATTCTAAACCATTAGTCTAAATATGGTCAAAGGAACGATTAAATACTTTAAAGTGGTTTGTGATTGGCTGCTTTATCCATTTGACCTTCAGAGGTCAACCTTAAGTGTAGGGGTACTGTCAAATCGTGGTTAGCATTATAAACAAGGAACCCACATGACTTAAAATGGATTATTTGGTCAATTTATTTGATTTAAACGTCTGTAGAAATTCGAATCTTAATTTATCTTCAAAGATGCCTGATTGGTTGATTCCATTTACCATGATCTGAATGATTTAGCGAGTGTCAACGATAATCCTGAAGCTGGTGCCATCAATCATTGAAGTTTGTATCCTGCGATTTCTCTAGCTCGGTGGATTTACTAACGCCCCCTATAGTAAATTAAACCGAATGACAAACGATCACTTAAAACAAATTACTTTTATTTCTCTCCGACCATTTTCACTCCAGAATATTTTTACGATTGTCAAATCTAATGAGTTTTTGTTATGAAATGCACTACAGGGACTCTGCTGGCGTAGGAATACGAATGATTGAGGGTTATTGGAGTGTCACATGATCTGATTAGTAGTTCGTCTCTCCGATGAATAAAAGCGACTCTGTCATTTTTCCTTGTCAAAATGGTGATGATCTTAGCTATGATAAGCCAATAAGATGACAGTGTTATTTCAGTTATCTTATTTCTATCGATAATAGTTTTTATTTTCAATTATATTTACATCATTTCATTTCCGAACTCAATTTCCTACTCTACTCAAAATTTTATTTTGAAGAATTAAATCAAAATCTAATGTCACTGACAAAATTATAAAAATATTTTAAAAGGAAATGAGATAATTGTAGCCTACAAGTTCTGAACATTGATATGCGTTTTAATATTTTTTCACTGAATCACTATCCCTTTATTCATTCATTATATCCATTTATTCATTCATTCTATCCATTTATTCATTCATTATATCCCTTTATTCATTCATTATATCCCTTTATTCATTCATTCTTTCATTCTTTCATTCATTCATTCATTTCATTATATGACTTTTATTTACATTCCATTTATTCATTCATTTTATCCATTTATTCGTTCATTCATTCATTCATTCATTCATTCATTCATTTCATTATATGACTTTTATTCACATTCCATTTGTTCATTCTATCCATTTATTCCAGATGGATTATTGGACTGTTTGGATCCAGATTGTTGTTCTAACGCTGCCTGTCGTACCAGTAAATACTGTGAAACATCTCCGGAACCCATGGATATATTACTCACCAAGCAATCTCCGAGTACCACAGCGTCGTTCTACGAGAAGATGAGGTTCCTGGTAGAAGAGAACAGTGTTCAGACCTACGCCATGAAAAATTCTTTTAATGAAACGTAAGTAGTTTTAATATTCTTTGAGCTTTGTGCCCCAGTTAGTTGGATGCTTGCTGGCTAATCTGAAGATACAGGGTTCAGCATAGTTCAAGATATACTTAGATTTTACAACCTAGTATATTCATCCTGACCAGTTAGTAATTGTTACAGTAGAACTTCTTTATAGACAGCAATGTTTCTACACTAGTTGAAAATGCTTGAAGGATTTACATTGTACTTTTTAATTGGCCATTTTGAAGCTGGTAGACACGTCAATATGGACATTAAGAAGTTAAAAATGTGAAGTGGTACGATTAAGAACATTTAACCTTCAATTACTTTCCAAAATGGCTGATAAAAGTAATTGAAATGTATTAGAAAATCAATGGTTTGTCTGTCGTCTGCTAGGAAATGGTCAGCATGGCAACTCCCGCCTCATTTCATTCTACGTCTGCTTGAAATAATTACAATTTGAGTGAATCAAAAAGACATCTATCCATCTTAATGGAGGTTTCCGTTAATGAATAAATGGGAGATATAAAATCAATCTAATAATGGCCACCCTCTGTGTTGATATGTTATGTTAGAATATAAGATTTGTACTAGTTTTATTTAAAAAATAAAAAATTTACGCCCTTGGTCAGGTTATTTAAATGGACAATTTTTTTTACAACTTGATCTTAGGCTTTTTGTTGTGTTTTAAAAATTGTATTTACCCCCCAAATTCAATTGCTGACCTCGTAACCATACAATTGAAAATATAGAAATATTAAAACAGAACCTAGAGAAAACTTGTTGTTACTCAAAGTTTCACTCTATGCGATCATAGATGCAGATAATAAAATGGTACAGTTTCAGACAAGAAAAAAAAAGAAGGATAGAGCTTTATTTTGTAAAAATATCCGTTAGTCCTGGGCCTAACCTTTTGTATTGATGATCTTTCCCATTAAAAGTTGGGTGAACTGCGGACATGATTTGTCTCTGTGTTACTGTATCAATAATTCTGCATACATGGCAATAGACATACATTACGCATAATTGAATATTGAATTGTTTGCTTTAGTTTCACATTTGTAAAATTGACAATGAAATTGGAACCTTATTCTTAATTCCATCAGCCTTTGCCCTTTTGTATTGTTTTTCTCTTTGTAACATTTTCAAATTATCTCTTGAACCTGCACATTTAGAAAGAATTTTATAAAAATTTTGCAATGCAATCAAAAAAGTTAATTAGTGCGCTTAAAGCTTTGTTAATGAATAAACAATTTCAAATTTCTTGCTTTCGTTAACCATTAGTCACTAATTAGTAACTAAATTACAAGAACAAAATCACAGTAAATACCAATATCAAGAGATTGTCATCTAGTTCATGGTTTTCTACTTTCAATTTATCAATGTGGATGTTATTATTCTATTCAGTTTTTGTCTATTGGAGTGTCGACATGCTTGATTAAGCACTAGATAAGCAACTTGACAGAGCTTTGTCTGTTTATAAATATCCACTTGTAAAAAAGATAGGCTATTCATTTATTTATAATCACGGTTGAGTTGTCTCTAGATTGCCGATCGATTTGTCGACAATCGCGTATTATCTTTCCTTTATTCACAAATTATTTTTTGTACTCAATCAATTTCCAATAAAAAAGTCGCGTGAACTTTAAAATAATTATCTGATGATAAAGTATTGTCAGTGAATGATTTTGTCGAACGATCTAATCAATATCGTTTAGCATAATTTTTATATATTTTACGCGTAAACGATTTTATGTAAGTTTTATTGGAAAATGTCTATTTTTCTTTTGTATAACAAATTATTAACATTTTTCACATTCAAATGATTTTGAGTTAGTTGAGTTTTGTTATAATTTGTTGATTTATGAATTATGGGACATTGTGTAAGAGGAAATTTTGTAGCGTTAATGCAGTGTTATTGAAAAATTTCCTTATACTGAGGTTTAACACCCATGGCGCTTAGAACTACTTAATTTTTGATTTATGCTTTAAAATTTACATAAAATATTATCCAAATGTCCCAAATTAATGAAATGAAAACATAACAGAACAATAGCACTATTTCATTTTGACGTCTGCAACAATTTACGCCAAGTTTGGGATTACTCTGGCAACAGTTTTATGACATCATGTGGTGCAATGTTAATCCCTTAATGTCTGATGCCAACATTGGACACCAGACGTCCCCAATTGAGTTATGGGTAATGCTGGTATTAAGCTTTTGAAACAAGGTGGTTATCTGTCCTTTGATTTATGAGCTTTGTTGTTTTCCTGGTATAGTTATGATGACATCAGAGTTATGTATTGTAGTGACACTTTGTTGCCATGTAAACTTTGAGACAGTGACATATTTAATGGGGTGGGGGAAACAGCTTGGCCCTCCTCTCGGGCCTGTAAAAGGTCTTATTTCGAAGTGTAGATTAAGCCCAGTAAATACTTATAATTCATCTCAGGCCATCTAAAATCCATTGGCTTCTGTTGGGCCCCCGGTAGCCCCACCCTCAAGAGGGTATGGCCCTTCAACCCTCACCTTGGAGAGAAATCTTTCATTGTTGAATATCCCTCAGGTAGACCAAAACATCTGTCTCTGTTCCAGCTATTTGGACAGACTCTGACTCTATTCCAGCTGATAACTGTCAAAATATCCATCAGAGGCTGGAATAGAGGCAGATGTTTCGGATAACCCCTCAAGAAGAAAAATTCTGATGCTTTGATGTTCACAATAAAAATTTCCAGACTGTTAAATATAAAACATAAATAAGCTCATGTCACTGTCCGAGCAAAATTTTCCTCAATGTACACTGCATGTACTGCCCTGTGTTTATTAGACCAATTAAATGCAGAAGAGAAGGATACAAGACTCCATTTCAGCCATTTCTGGTGTCTGACACTAATTGAACATCAGACAAACATTCCGAATTGTTTTCAATATAAATTCTTCTTTCCAAACAAAGGAAAGTAATATCTGCAGACAGAAAGTTGTGAAAAATGTAAATTAGAATTATTCTGAGACTCAAATCTGTCAAAACGTGGTGTGTACAAACACATTAGTCAAGTTTCTCAGTTGGATTGGGTTAAAAAATGGCTATTTCTTAGCAAAACTGTCTAAAACTTTCTTTGTGATGACAGAGTCAATTAGTGAACTATACTAACATAGTTGATGGTCCCTAATGCATTTCATTTCATTTCATTTATACAAACATAGTGAAAGGTATGGGGTGGGAGTGGGGGATTGTTGAGTTTAGGGGAGGGACTAGGGTTGTGCTTTGATATAGATGGTTTTTGCTTGAACACTTTTTTACACTGTCTAAATCTTTCTTTGTAATGAGCTATACTAACATAGTTATTGAGGCAGGGGTCGTTGAGTTGTGATGAAAACTTTTTTTCGCCAGCTTTCAGTTCCATATAGTATAAGCATGTCTTTATTTACATCTGCCACAGGAATTACCAGTTGAGTATTGGTGCAAATTGTGAAAGTGGGCATGATTACTGAAAGCAATCTTACTTCAGTTGCATGAGAGTTGCATTTGAAACTTATGATCGCTGTTCTTATTCACAACCATACATAGCTGGTGATCTCTATAGAGAGAATCATCAGATAAATAGATACACTAATTCTTTAACTAACTCAACCATTCTCATGTTCACTCAGACAGACAACATTATCAAAACAACGACCACAAGATTTTTCTTTTCGCAATGAAACATTATGTTTCTAAGAAATTCTGTTTCATTATAGTTCTAACTACAAGTGTTACAAGCTGTTTATTCTTCAACTGAGACAGAATTTAAAAACTTTACGTGATGAAGCATTTTAAGAATAATTCGCAATCGATAAAAAAAATCTTACTAGGTAATTTGGCGTCTGAGGGTCAAAGGTCAGAAGTAGATTATGGCTTTAAAAATGTTAGCGAAGTTTTTTCGGAAATAAAGTACGAAACTAAATTATTGATATCAGGCAATCGTTGGCGAGGGACCAACACGGGTCACGGATAATGGCCGCCAATCTACAACTAAATTGATGTATGATGTCTGCTCAAGATTTTAATATCATATATTTTCATTTTATTTTGAGTTTTTGTATGTTTAATTACATGTTAGCATGCGAGATATATTAAAGTTCCCTTTACAGTTGAAATAACGTTTTCCTTCAATTAATCCAATAAGGTACAGAATAGTAGGATGTAAAACTCCATTCATTTCATTAGCTCAATAAGGTCTAGAAAAGCATGTAAAACTCCAGTCCCATCATTAACAGAAGTCGAGAGTCTTTTAAGACATCCTAATAAATCATAATTAAAACTTTCACAAGACAAAATGGCTCCTATCTGAATTCTGGGTAACTTCTGTCAAGATGTCAAAATTCGAAAAAAAACATTTCAGGAACTTTTACTGTTTTTCTTTCTTATCTAATTTTCAAAATTATCTGCAAATTTAAAACTTTTACCCTGAGCTGA